CAGTCATCACTTGTACGTTGTGTTGTATGTTTCGAGATGAAGAGGCTAGGTATTAGGTAAACAGAGAAAACTACAGTCTGTCTTTGCATTGATATTATAACTGTACTGGAGGACGAAGGCATGCAGGCGGATCAAATCATCTCTCAGAGGATTCTGAAACGCATACAAGACTAAGCTGTGTGTTGTACAGTAGTAACAGTCTATGTGTTTACAGGATACAGCACTGCATGTTAGTATGGGACTGACAGCTATGCTCACCTCACTGTAGTAGAGTATGTACAATACGTATGAGTCCAGTACTGAACGGTAAGTCTAGTGTGGAAGAGAGACAGAACCAGCGACCGTGTTTACATGCACAGAGAACTCTTCTTCACAATTACTCACGTTTCTTGACCTGTATTTTTTATGTCTAATTTTGTGCTACTTTATACATACCACAACATTTATCTACTGACTGTCATTACTCTTTACTTTTTTGGTGAAATGTACAATTGCAAGCTCATCATGTTTGCTCAATTAGACTATCAAGCTCATAAAAGCCCATCTCACAAAATAAAAGCATGAGAGGTGATAAGAACATGACCATTTTCATGCTTGCTTTAAAGGTACCCTGTAGAGTTTTTCACCACTAGTAGCACAATGGAGCGATGTTTTAATAATTGGGTCCCAGTTTCCTTAGTTCTTGCTCAGGATGCCGACCCAAATCAGTTTACTGCACATCCAGACTGATTTTACTAAGCCTGGACAACAAAAAACACCCATGAGATTCAATTTTTGCGATGTGATTCCAGTTCAAAGATGTGTCTCAGTCTGGCTGCTTAAATTGGATTTCAAAGTGTCTTTTGTGTCACTCGCAATGCAACAAAAACGACAACAACAAATCCAGAGTGACGAAGAAGCTGAGCAGAATCCATGCTGCTACTAGCAGAGCACTCTGGAGGAGTCTTTGAACAGACGCCGAAATTAATTGTTTGGAGGGCTAAATGATGGACCTCAATTCATCATGCTTCCATTGTTGGAGAGCCATGTCACCAGCGCAGCTCTGTAGTTACTGATATCCAAGTCACAGCAACCCCCTGAAGGTAGGCTGGTGATGTCTGGACACAAATCTGTTCTTATTACTTGCAAGTAACAGTATGGAAATGTCTGTTGGTTGGATTTGAGAAACAAATTAGATTTGCCTGCAGTCTAAACATAGCCTTAGTTATTAAGCTATGCTGATGCCGGTTTCATGCTATTCCACTGATCTACAGGAGGCAGGAAGGCACTGAAAAGTTCTTTAATCGGCTTTGTAGATGTTTTATGAGGAAGAAAATGCATTAGGCACATTTGTTGGAGCTCAAGGACACACACAGTGCTTCTGGTGAGTAACACTGAATGGAAGCATAACTGCTTTTGGTTAGAAGAAAACCCTACAGGGTACCTTTAAGGTGGAAGAGTTAAGACTCCTGACAGAAGATCATACACCTGTTATGGCACATTTTAACCAGTACTAACGAGTCACTTTCCTCACCCACTTAGTCACATTTTCAACTGTTTGACAGTGGAAGATTCCAGAGGCCAATATTGGCCCTTAAATTTGCCCAAAACTGCTAACTAAAACTGATTCTCAGCCAAAGTGTACAACGTCCAAAATCTACCTTAAACCTGGCAATTATATATCAGCCACAGCACTTTTGGACTCAGAGGGAATTGGGGGGCATTAGTGCCTCCATTAAAAACCCCACATAGATTAAATGCCCTCTTGGATGGAGAAAACATGACAAAGTGCCATCTAGGGTGTCCTTCCAGTGGAGACAAAGCCACAAAGCACCCTCCTGGGGCTCCTTAAAATTCTTTGCATCTCAATCAGGCTGACGGCTTGAGTCACACTTTCTGCTGTACAGCTAAAAAAAAAAGAAACATAATTATGCTAATATTTAATTAGATTATGCCATAGAAACAGATGGACAGTAGAACGGACATTCCCATTTGAATCAGTGTAGCAGGAAGGTCAGTGGTGGCCACTGCAACTGTTATCGCGGGCTAACTTCTGTATAAACTTCCATGTAAACAAACCAACATTATGTTTTTGAATAAGCAATCTTTTACTTTAAAAATATTATTGTAACTGCTGTTTCCTCATTTCTTTTATTGTCATTTATTGCACATTCAATGGAACATGATATGGGCCTACTTTAGCTGCCTCAGAAGAAGGAGTGAGAGCCGCTGCTCAGTGGACAGCTGAGAGGCATCAAGAGACCGCTGCGATAAACAGAGCGTGTAGATCCAACATATTTTCACATCTGATTCATTAAATTTAAGGATTTATTTAACCCGAAAGAGAGTAGGCGATAGCTGGAAAAGTGGACTAACTAGATGACTAATAAGACTTACTAGGATGGTTTTGGTGAGTTTGTTTTTGTTCAAGTTTGAATCAAGTCTGTTTTAAGATGAGTCAACGAGGCGTTTAAGCTAATGTTAGTGTTAGCTTTTCCTGCTTCTGCTTCCAGACCATGGCCAGGAGAGACTGTGTTGTCTCCTGGGCTGGAGTTGGTACTCACTCCGGACCAAACCCTTGTTGCTCCACTCAGCAGTTGGTAAACAAGAGAAGGGAAACTTCTGCTGGGCTTGCAGCATTTATTATCGCACAAACTGTAAACTTTATTTTGCATTCACTCTTTATATCTTCGCTGTTAAACTTTAACTCTGCTTCGCTTGGATCCTTCTCTCTCTTGCTTGTTCAACCACACACACCTCATTTGCACACACAAACACGTACTGGCTGCGCACTGAGCTATTCTCTAAATGAGTTATGCTACTCTTACAACATGTTGGGTGAAAGAGAGAAACTTGGATTGGTGGAAGGTTGTATTTTTCTGGGGTGGCATGGTGGTATGGTGGTTAGCACTGTCGCCTCACAGCAAGAGGGTTCCTGGTCAGATCCCAGGAGGCAGCCCTTCTGTGCAGAGTTAGCATGTTCTCCTCGTGTCAGCGTGGGGTTTCTCCGGGTACTCCAGCTTCCTCATCTATTCCATACATCCATTCCTGGATGGATGGATGTATTTTTTTGTTTAATAAGTAAAATATGTGTTAGATTCCCTGTGATAGTCTGGCGACCTGTCCAGGGTGTACCCCGCTTCTTGCCCAATGTCCCCCCCCCTCACACACACACACACACACACCCTCACCCCCACCCGCCCCCCCGACCCTCAAGAGGATAAGCGGTTAGAAAACGGATGGATCAATAAAAACTCCCCAGTGCCCCCTGCTATGATCTGGAATGCAGCTAAGGCCTACGCGTGCACCTTATCTCCTACACTTCTCACCAAAAAAAAGTGTTAGACGGCAACAGGAAAAATCTTGAAAAAGAAGCTAATAGGTTGGAACAAATACATAAACAATCACCTACGGCCATAAACACAAGCATTAGTGTCTGCTAGGACTGCACTTAATATGGACCATACTCGCCACATTCAGAAATTACTACTTTTCACCAAGCAGAAGTATTATGAATATGGCAACAAATCTAGCCGCTTACTTGCTTATCAATTAAAAAATCAGAACAATTAATTCGCTCAATTAACACGATAAGAATGCCAAGTGGCCAAGTCTCATGTGACCCGCTGATCATTAATAACACATTCAGAGACTTCTACAAATCCCTTTACAGTTCAGAGAAATCTGAGACCGACATAGATTCTTATTTAAATAATTTATCTCTACCCATCATTGCGGAGGATCGATCCAGATTAGATGCTACATTCACAACAGAGGAAGTCTGGGCCGCAATTCAATCCATGCTGAACGGGAAATGTCCGGGCCCAGACGGAATTCCATTAGAATTTTTTAAGAATTTTTGGCCAGAGATCCACCCAATATTCATGCCCGTTATTAATAATATTTTGAAAGGTTATAATGTCCATAGTGCACTTAATATTACTCACTATCTTAATACTCATAAAGACCCAGCAATGATAATCTCCCTCAATGCCGAAAAGGCCTTTGACCGAGTAGAATGGTCTTTTTTATTTCCTGTATTAGAAAAATTCGGTCTAGGCTCCAATTTTATTAATGCAATTAAAATTCTTTATTCTGACCCAATAGCCACTGTCAACACTAACGGCTTGCTGTCCGAGGGTTTCCCAGTGCGCAGAGGTTATAGGCAGGGGTGCCCTCTGTCGCCTTTATTGTTTACGTTGTTCATCGAACCTTTGGCTGAGACTATCAGAACTTATCCCGATATAAACGGCATCACAGTGGGCGAAGGGAACCATGTCATTTCCCTATTTGCAGACGATGTTCTTTTGTACTTAAAGAATCCTGATAAATCAATTCCAGCAGTCCTTGACTCTATACATTCGGAACTGGGAGACTTATCTTTGCCCCATCTACAATTCTACTATTGGTCAGCCCAACTTAAAATGATGACAAACTGGTTCATGAATAGGAAAGACTCTCTATGGATCGGTCTTGAGACCCTATCATGCCACCCTAGAAGACTATATTCTCTCCCCTTCATCAACAATATAGATCAGATAAATTCCCTTAAAAATAATATGATCGTATACAATACGTTACTAGTCTGGAGGGATTTGAAGAAATACCTAAATATTCCACCTTTTATTTCAACTTGGTCCCCCTTGGCACTGAATCCTGACTTACCACTTCAGATAAGGACCATCGGCCTGATGGATTGGGTTGCTAAGGGCTTGCCAGATTTTGCAGCCCTGTTGATCTCCGATTCTTTGAAACTGTTTGAACAAATCAGGGCTGAGTCTGACATTCCCCGCAAAGATCTTTTTAAGTACTTCCAAATTGGCCATTTTATACAGTCTTTATTAAAGAAAAACATGATCCGTATGGAATTGTCAGAACTGGAAAACACGGTGGTCTCCGCCAAATCACCCAAAGGACTGATCTCTGAAATTTATACTGTTTTGCAATATTCTGACTCTTCAGCCTATGACCCCTTGAAGCTGTTGTGGGAGCGCGATCTGGAGGTGATATTTAGTCCCACAGACTGGTCTAAGATCTGTAATGGGATTTTGCCAAAATGTACTTCAATCTCTATACATGAACATAATTTCAAACTTTTTTACATGATCTATTTTACACCTATTCGCCTCCAGAGAATTTTCCCGAACACTTCAAACCTGTGTTTTAAATGTAAAAAGCATAAAGGTACACTTATTCATTTATTTTGGTCATGTGACCGCATCCAGCCATTCTGGAATGGGATCCATTCAGTGATTCAGGAGGTTACTGGTAAACATTTCTCATTGACTGCTCCATTTTGTTTGTTAAGTCATATTCCGGACAGTCTTTTTGACACAGATACTGAATCTCTGCTAATTATCCTTCTATTCTTGGCCAAGAAGTGTATTCTGCTACGATGGTCAACCCCCCAGGTCCCCACGACTGACATGTGGATATCACAAATATCAGCCCTTCTCCCCCTGGAAAAATTGACTCATGACCTCAATCACAAATCGGACAAATTCTGGAGAATTTGGAAGCCTATGCACTCCTTTTTACAGAGACTTTAAATGGCTCATCTCTAGAAGGCAATGTCTGGCTGCTACATGTATTTGTACCCTTGCTTGTTTACTTGCTCCCTGTCATACTAATGTAAAATTCAATAAAAATAAAATTAAAAAAAAAAAAGAAAATGGATGGATGTGTGTGTTAGACTGGGCCAAAATGGCATTCTCAAACGCACACTTTACAGCCACTACAACAACTAACACCATACACCATTTTTTTTGGTACTAGTCAAATGACCACGACAGTTCAATGTCCGTTCTACTCTCATTCTATTTCCATGGATTTTACACAATCTTGCATCTTTACCACGTTTTGGTTTGGTTTCTGTTTCAGCCAGCTAGTTGACTCTTCTCTGTGAAAAAATGTGACTCAATTGTTGGGGCTACGTTTCTGCATGTCCTCACTCACCAACAGAGGTCACAACCACTTATACCCTTTTCAAGGCAACTCAGTCTCACCACATCAAAGGTGAACAGCCAACCTAAACATAACCTTAAATGGAGTGAGGCTTACGCCCAGGTTGACTCTGTGCATGTAAACCTACCACTGACCAGGCTGGAAGTTGCAGGGAAGGGGAAGAACAGAGTGAGAGGTTACCGAGAGGGAATAACGCCACCAACCCTGGCCCTCGACCACCATTCACACCCTGTGATTAAACCAGCTCCTTCTCGTAGTGCCCTCTCCACCAGACCTACTGAAACATCACACATCACACCTCCAGGCCCCAGTCTCTGAAGAAGCCTTTGGCCACTCTTGACTCTCGGAATGTCACTGTGAGGGAGTTGAGGGTGACATCTGTGACTGTCACCTCCCCTGGACAGATGACAGGCCTCCAGACATCGCCCGGCTTCTCTGATGCAGTGACCTCTTCTGGTCCGACGGTGGAGCTCCACTCGACTGTCCTCTCCTGTCCTGAGTGAGATGGGAACATGGAGACAGAAAGACAGAGGGAGAAGAGGGTAGAGTTGATTGCATCAAGCCTATCATGTGTTCTGTTATTGAGTTAACGTCTTTGGACAGACCTTGATAGATTGTCTCTGCTCTGATAGATGTTAGAAAGTGACAAAGGCAGATATTTGGCTGCAGGAACAGTCAGCTCTAATTGCTTCAGAGGTGATAGGGAGGACAGAAACGTGACATAATGCAATCCATGTCATTATTTTGGGGAATTTTAGTGATGACTCACCTTTAAATCATGAAAATGGCTTTTACTACTCTGTCCAACTAAAAATTCACCTCTAATTTATTAAAGATTGTCTTCTGCTGTGGTGTCAGACTTCCAAGTAAAGGAATTTTGCATTATGGGACAGACTGAAGACCCTATTGGCTGTTGCTACATACGGAGCAGAGACTTCAGTGAGTCTGCATGATCTCTGCATGATTTTCTCTTTAATCAGCTCATGTTTTTGGTTGCATGCCCAGTCAAAAAAAGAGCCTTTGCATGGTCGTGCCTACTAGAAGGTTCACAAGGAGTCAAGTAAACTGGGTCGTGATGGTGATTAGAGTCTACTGGCTGACCAAGTGACACACTTACCATTTAAAGTGCCACTGCTCTTCTCTGTTGTCGTCTTCAGAGCCTCCTCTTTCTCCTCCTCCTCCTCCTCCTCTTCCTCCTCTCTATACTCTTCACTTTCTACATTATCCTCCTCCTCATCTTCATCTTCTCCCCAGTCCTCTTGTGTGGGACTTGGAGGGTTTGAGTCAAGGCACGTGAACTGTGACCTCCTGGGTTTGCTCTTCCGATGTTCCAGCTGTGGTCGTGGGTCCAGGGTGCTGTACGACTCATCCTCGTCCTCAGGGAGCAGAGAGTGTGTCAGGGAGAGACGCAAGCGCGGCTGAGGTTGCTCTGGAGTCTTGTGAGCACTGCGGAGATCCATGGTGTAGACAGTGTCCTGAATGTAAATCAAAGAGAGAATGCTTGATGATTAAAACTTTTATGACTTGAAATTCAGAATGATTTTAATAACACTCAAACTGGTTATAGAGGAGAGTGATGAGGTGGCAGGATAGCCAACAAGGGAATGGAAAAGGGAAACAGAGTTGTATCAACAGATAAAAAGTAATGTATAAAAAAAGACAAAACTGTAATTCTTTAACTTTTTTATTGAGCTCAAAGCTTTACCTGCAGAATAAGTCTTTTGGCCTTGGATCCCTTTCTCCTGTGCCCCAATGTTCTCTCTCTCTGCTCTCTGAAAAGCCAAGCACACAGTTAAAAGTAGGCTGATGGTACATATGTTAGTACAACAGCAGTGGGTCCCTGTTTTTGTAAGTTCTACAATATTCACAGGTAGCTTAACACGACAAAAACACAAGTAAACTTGGGTGTAAACAATGCGGGATTCAAAAATCTGTCAATCAATCAATTAGTGCAAAGAAAAAAACAACAGCCAGGCAAACAACACACCATTTAAAAAAACAGAGATGGGGGAAGAATCTTAATAGCTTCTGATCCTGAAAAATGTACACAGATCAGTTCAGACAAAAAGGAAGGAAATGTATTCAACATGTCTGTTAGGCCCCAAGGATTCACACAATGCATTTAGAGTAACAATGAATATAAACACAAACTTTGTTTACCAGAAAACTCAACAGGGCCCCTGTCACTTCCTCTCAAATTAATGACCTCTTTAAAAACTGGAGGTAATCATTATCAGCGCACTAGAGTAATGACACTCATTTACACCACCATTTTAAATGTGGCCAGATGTGTGTCTGACCAGATCATTCTAGATACAACATCCTCCTTACATCTTTATTGCCTTAAGATGTGGAATTTTATTGTTTTGGCATATCTAGTTACAATCCAACAACTTCAGTCACATGCTAATACCAGCTGGAGAGAGGTCTAGGATCTGGGTCTTGGTCTGCTGAGTCATAATCTCTTTATGATTAAAGAAGTATTTCACCTCTGGAAAGATGATCTTTTCATTAAACTGGGCTTTCTGTGCCGTAGAAATATGGAAAAACTTTAAAATTGGTGCTATATGACCAGAGAAAAAAGAAAACGCTGGTGACATTCGCTTTTGCTCAAGAGGTAGAAACCCTACAACTAATACAATGCACTGCACCACACTGATCTAATATTACATTTAAACATTAGACTTTTAGCTTAGTTTGGCTGAGTTTTAGTTTGATCTCAGTATTTTCAGCCTTTGTTTCTACTATTCAGGAAACAGTATGGAGACCACTTCCTGTCCACAAACTCCTACTATTACATCTAAACAATACACTACTGCCTGGTTCTCACTACATGACATTTCTGTCCATTCTGACAGTCACTATGTCACATTAGGCAATCGTGGAGTCATAAAATTGTGCCGTGACTTGGCCGACATACATGATAGACTACATGATGGTCCACACCAATTATCCCCGGTTGTCTTTCACGACGTGTGTGATGTCATCGGGTTACTCTCATCCTATTTTTATTATTATTACTATTATTTCAGTCACTGTGTCTGTTCATATGCTAGCGGAAATGTTGTAGTAACATAAAAAGTGCCACCAGATGGCAGGAGCTACATTTGAAGTACCATATGCAAACATGAAAGTCACTGAATCCTCCACAACAAGTTCCTGCACATGCTTCACAATAAAAGCTTTTTAAGAAAATGAAGGGATTCTCACAACCGAAATTAAAATGGGCTTTTAATTTGAAACAGATACAGGAAGTGATGAGTTTGAAATGATGGCATGATGCATTAACTTTATCAAGGCAACAGGAGCGGATAAAAAGTAAAAATATAAAAATACAGAGGGATTAATAAATAACGGCCCGTTTATAATGTAGTCTGTTTCAAATGAAGCTGGTACCCTCTGCAGTTGTGCTAAGTAAAAGCCCCGCCTCTATTCTTTAATTTTCCCGTCTCTATCTCGTCTCTAATCTCGTCATTATAAAGGAATAACATTGTTTGCTAGCTTGATGCTACCGGCAGTACACACCGTGTTGATAAAGAGGCTGTCCTCTGCTGTTCAACGTCCCTAGAGGAAATATCTAAAAGGCTGGGCTGTTATTGTCGCACAGTTGTCTACGGCAGCAGATCGCTCTGTGTTCTTATCAAAGTGACGGCTGTGACAGGAGCAGTCTTAAACGACAGAAAGAAAATTAAACATGCTAGACTTTCTGTCGGAACGTTGTGAGGCATTCCAGGCGTGGTGTCGGTTGTGGTCTACTATGACACACTACACGAGATGAAATGATGGACTATTGCTTACGACACTCATTGTCGTTCACGATCCATGCCGACACTGTACGTTGCTACGTCGGGCTATAATTGGGCTGATATCATGTAGTGTGAATCCAGCATAAAATATGTTTTTGAATACATTTTTGGTAAGAAATAGGCAACGCAGTAACAGAATTTTTGTTTATATTTGATCAGCACTGCCTAGTTTTACCATTTAATTGGACTTCTGAGTTAACTGGAGTCTGAGTTATATAGAGAGAGAGAGGGCGGTCTACCCCTCTCTTGATCCACTTCTATACTCCATTAAAATGCAGACATACAGTCTCTTGTTTGAGATTTAAGTGTGGGAGATGAGCAGGGAGTTTTTGACACTGATAAGATGGAGGGAAGTTTACCACAGTACATTTACACACACTAACCACATTATTATGATACACACCTGGTTAAAAATCAGCAAATTATCCTTTAATATAATGTAAGAAGAAAACTGCTTTATTCAGCACCACCTGCTCCACTATGTGTCAAACCCTCTGTGATATCCTGGATTCAGGCAAGTATTACATGTGTAGAGGAGCCTTACTTCTCTTCATAGGCCTGTACCAAGCGCTGATCCAAAATGTGTTCCTCAGGTTCCCATGTGCTATACCTGTGAGCAGTTACAAAAAAAGTATGCAGTATTGGTTAACATTTTTGTAACAAAATTAACATAAAATTACTGAAACCATTGCCTATACTTTTAAGAACTTTTTTTAGTGAATCAATTCAATCTGTCAAATGACTTCTCACATGAACTAATGTAGCAGCACTGTGTGAATTTATGCTATTTTGATTAATTATTTGTGATTCAATTTTTCATATTACCACAGTACCTTTCTGTGCATACAAACAGTATAATCTGCTGTACATGTCAATGTAAATATGATGCACAGTTTTGACTGTTATATATAATCTATTCAGCCTTCTGATTAAAAGTTTACATACTTACTTTGGAGGCCATCCTTTCCACTTCAACAGATACTCCACATTCCCCTGTAGAGACATAAAGTTAAAGAAGTCAAGAGGTGAATTCATAATTTAGATCACAACACATAATGTTGAGTGCCAAGTAGTTCCATTATACTGGAGAGAAGGCAGACATCTCTACAGCCGATATCTCCAACACTCAACAACTCACATCAAAACAATCTAGACTGATAAATTACACTACAGGTAAGGGGACAAATATTTATTTTTGATTTTGGGGTGAACTGTCCCTTTAATACAAGTTTGATGCATCATTGTCCCATCAAAATCTATCAAATGTAATTCCTATGCAGATGTTTGAGATGCCACGTCTGATTTAGATGACAAATAAAGAAATGTATTTCCCCACAATGACCTATAGGAGGTGCTACAGTCAACAGACACAACTATAAGTGTGATAGCTCAGACACCACAGATCAGATTTTAGTTTGATTAAGGTGTTCAGACTGTAACTGCTACTAATTTGGCTCTCATTCTCATCTATAGTATTATATGAGTAATTAAAGTGTCTATGAAAATAGAGTTGTTTAATGGTTTTCTTGCTGGACAACACCTTACTTGCTGTAGGTGATATTTACCTGCATAATGTCTATATTCCCCTATCCTTGCTGTTGACTGAGTTTATATGAAGGAGGATGCTGCCATGCCATCAGAAAATATCCATAATTAAGGGATAATGTAAAGTGCACTGTATGTTTCCCATACACCAGCCAAGCTGCTCAGACTTAGTCATCCTCGGTGACATCATCTGATAATAACTTCCAAGCTTTCAAAGGTATTCTCAGTGGGTGAAGTCATCACTTTTCCCGACTTCATTTTACTCACTCTGTTCCCCACATGGAGCAAAAAGGCCATGGATTTTTTGTAAATTGGGTGAGACCAAAAATGAAGTGCCCATATCTTCCATAACTTGCGATGTAGATCACATAATTATTTTGACCTGTAAAGCATTTATGTATCATGCTCTCATAGGGTAATAAGTGGTCTTAACAATTAGCAATATATTTTATGGAATCATTCCAAACACTGGTTCATTCAAGATGCCTCTGTGTACTCTGGTAACCCAAAAACCTCTGGATTTGAGTTTGATTTACGTCTAAAAATATTGTTAAAGTGTAAGTGTAAAGTGTAGTAATCCACCTATAACAAATATCAGAGTATCACCCAATATTTTACATTCTATATCTGATAATATAACAGTTGGTAGCAAGATGAGTAGACGTGCTTGAGTTGTGGATGGACAGATATAGTGCACTGAGTACCACAAGTGGTTTTAACTTTGGCCTATGTATATTCTGTCTCTACCAAACTTTCACTTTATACTCTGTGAAGCCTCGCTTAAAGCTCAACATCAAACCATTTATAAAGACGAATTAATATGAAGTAAGTCTCCATTGCAAACATTAATAAAACAGAAGTTCATGTTGCAAACTAAGTAGCCGTATCCTTGTATTCCTTATACTGTGTATTAACTCAGGCAGTATCAAGCAACATGACACACATTTGCTGAATGTGAAGATTTCAAAAATTTGATACTATTGTAAATTAAGTGCTTTTGAGTTTTGGAAGACCGGTGAGACTATGGATTGTATATAAAGATGGACAACATGACAACTTCCCAAAAGTGAAACCAAAACATCTGGATCACCTCCTGGTGGTTGGCTGCAGTATAGGTCATAAACCTCGCCCCTCCATGTTTGCACTAAACTAAAAACTAAAAGTACAATTTTTTTCTGAAGATGGTTTCTGTAATTTTGTTGTATGTTCAACTGTTTATCTGATAAGTTTGGTTTTTATTAGTCATATGATGTTAAAAAAAATGGGGCATTGAGGTCATGATTGACATGTTTGTGCCAACTGATATGCTCGCTAGCAATGTTGCTGCTTGCAATTGGTCGGATGGGTAAATGGGTGGGAACTCAATACCAGCAGAGGTCGTTACTGCGCTGACTCTGGCTCTAAATGACGTCACCAGCGCAAGATGGCAGCAACCGTATCTGGGATATTTTGGCTTCATTTTTGTACAGTGGGGTTAAGTGGAGATGTGTTGTCCATCTTTATAAGCAGGCTATGGGTAAGACGAAAAACAGAACAAAACAAACAAACAAAAAACATTAAAGAGGGATCAAAAATCAAAATAATCATTAGTTGAGGCCCTACTGCATATTGTAAGATTTGACATTTTGAGGCTATTGCCCTTTACGGATTAAATTAGCTGCTATTTCACCATTTTTAATTTGGGTGTAGGTTTAGCTGTCTCATATTACTCTGACAACTCAGATGTTTAAGTGCTAATTGACAAAAAAGTGCAGCTAATTGGCATGGTGGCAAGGGTGCTATGAGTAATACACAAGTAAAAAAGTAGTTTTTTTTTTTTTAATGACAGAGTTCTTTTCATCTATTCTACTCTTTACTCAAGTATATTTTTGAGCCAGTACTCTACTTTTCAATTCACTACATTTGCCATTTTTACCTTCATTACAACAGGTCTGCTCTAAATGCATGCAGATTAACTGTAGAAAACGTGACAAGCACCTTTACTGCAGATGCCAAATTGCTAGCGACCTATCTTTCCATCACAATGCCACGGTGATGGTGCAAAAAACAAACAAAAAAACAAAGCAGAGAGAGGCAGCTTCAGCAACGATCAGCTTTTCAAAACACTTCCCCTATCCTCTGCAGACACATTGAACCAATATGTAAATGCTGCAGGTCAAAAAGGAAGCTGGCTAGCTATCTTTGGCTATACTGGTATGTTCATTTTTCATGTGTTACTATTGGATGTTATGATAGTAACATTAACTTATCTGGTCGCATTTGTCCTCATTAAAAGGGGTTAGTGTTATTAATTATGAATTCATTAAAAACAGTTGTTTTATTATTTTGCAGATGTGGCACCCTGGAGATTTCAGATTATATCCAGTATTATTATTTTATTAGTTCTTGTAATTAAATGACTCCCCCTACCATTATTTTTCTTATTAATACAATTTAAAACGACTTGTGTCACTTATAAAATCTCACTTGTTTCACTTTATGTAATTGCAGGGCAATACCCATTTTCTCCAGTAGGTCGCAGTATAGGCGCTGTAATTTGAGTGACTGCCGCTGTAATCCTGGCGTATAGGGAAGTAAACTCAGTTGTACAGCGTAAACAGTCAAGATAGTAGCACAGAGAGCCTATACTCATCCAAGACTTTCTTTCTTGTTATATTTGCAGGTGAGAGAAGTGCACAAGCGCCCAATAAATTTCGGTTAAGCTTATGCCTCATTTCTCGTGCCATTTGTGTATGTTTATAAAGTCATTTATGTAAGAAATACAGCAGTTAACTACAGCTAGCCTTAGCTGCTAACATAGCCATGTCCCGCACATTGTGTGGGTGTAAGACGTAATGGCGTCGCGTTGTAATGATAGTGACCTTACCATTTCGTTTTAATTGTCTTAATGTATATTAACATTGTGTTCAGAGGTTTATAACATGAAGCTGTGTATATAAGCAGCCACTATAAGCAGTTTACAAGATGTGTTTCATATAAGATAAGGTGCTCAGTGTACAATACAAGTCAATGATAAAAGCAGCCACAATATTGAGTTTATTAGTGAGAAGGCTGTACATGTTATGTTGTTTATTCAGTATTCATTTGATGTTAGGTCAGTAACAGATGCGTTATGTATCACTTTATTATTTTTGGCTACAATCTGTGCGTACAAGGAAGTAAACTCAGTTGTACAGCGTAAATAGTCAAGATATCATCACAGAGAGTCTATACTCATCCAAGACTTTCTTTCTTGTTATATTTGCAGTTGTCCTGTTCAAATAAAGTCAACAAAACCTGAACACATGTCGTCATCATTGTATATGTGTAACACAGAGCATAAAAAAATATTCAAATGGGAAGTAACTTAGTACTTTGAGTTTATTATCAACCATTCATTCATTAATTTTCTGCAGGGTTCATCCCGCACATTGCGCCAGACTATCACAGGGCTGACACATAGAGACAGACAACCATTCATGCTCACATTCACACCCACGGGCAATTTAGAGTTATCAGTTAACTTGCATGTCTTTGGACTGTGGGAGGAAGCTGGAGTACCCAGAGAAAACACACGCTGACATGGGAAGCACATGCAAACTCAGCACAGAAGGGCTCCCCTAACCCATAGTTTGAAGCCCCTACCCCAGGAACTCTCTTGCTGTGAGGCGACTAATAACAACACTAACAGGCGCACCACTGTGTGTCAACCAGGTACTTTTTTAACTTTTACTTGCATAGGTTTCTCACAATGTAATTTTCATATTAAACTGAGTCATTTTTTTTGGGAGTTATGTTTACTTGAGTTTACATTTTTAGCATTTCACCCCCAATGACAGTGGGTAATATGACCTACCTTTGCATCTCTTCTTATAACTTACAGTAGCATAGCCAACTTCTGAATCAGAGTTCCATTTCTCATTAAGTGTTTAAAGTATTTTGACAGCCCCTGTACCTTTAACAGTTTGTCAGTGTTAAATTATTCAGCGACATGTTTGTCATACAGGGAGTGGGGGGAACAACTGGTAAACAGAGGAGTTTCGGGGGGCCCTGGTGCGCTCTGGAGGGACAATCATTTCTAGCTGCGCACCTGCAGGTGTAAACACCATATGCTCACTCACAGTCAAACCCAATTACCAACTAAACAGGTCCGAAATCAAGATGTTTGGTTAATAACATCACCCTGTGTCATGTCCCTGCGTATTTAGCCAAACACCTGACACGTTAAGCTGTAGTGCAATGACAACACTCTCCACGTTACATTAAAGGGACATCCTCCCCTAACCCGCCCCCTTTACACAGCTTGCAATTAGATAACCAGATTAGTGGCGCAATTCTGTTCATTTAATCTCTCAAGCTTTCATTAGCACACAAAGTAGCATCCCTGCCTCCCAGAAATGTGTCTCCTCCTTCATGCTGACAGCGTCCCGCGGGCTGACACGTTTAGGCAACATGTATAACGGTTACCTTTCTAACTCTTTTCTTGACGATTGATTCCACAGCGAACACTTGCTCTCCAATCGCTGACAGCTCCATCTCCGTGCACGCCGCCGTCCTTTTGGCTTTTAACTGTCAAAGTAACGTCTCGCGCCTTCACAAACTAAGCTAACGTTGACCGCTCGTGACAGCGGCCCTTCGCTCCTGTCCTCTTCTTCCCGTTTCTCCCACAGCCGCTTTGTTTTCCTGTCAGTTTAAGGGCCCATTTATCCGGAGCGACTTCCTTCTGCTGGATCTTTCCGTGCGTCCAGTGACTTTACAAAATCTGCGACACATCTGCACACCGCGCCGCGCGCACACGAGAGCGCGCTCCCTTTTACAATGAGTCCGCGCGCGTCACTAGCTGCCTCATCATTCACACAGTGGAAGGATGGATAGTACTAAAAAAAAAACAACAGCAAAAATAGAAATACTACGATGTGGACACACTCTGCCGCAAGTACAGGTGTGGCACTGAGAATCTCAGTAACGTAAAGTATAAAGTATCACAGCAGAATGGCACCTGTAACTGATGTATTACTAAATATTACATTATTATATCGGTGACACAAAAGTACAAATGAAAAAGTAGCATTTCACTGTAGTAGTTGGTCAAAGTGAAGTTAGTTTTAACTTCTTAATTAAATACTGTTTGTAGTTAAGTGCCATCTTTCCCGACAGGGCTGCCCATAAGGGAGGCTTTCTTGGGTACAGCCACGGGGGGGGGGGGGATGTAAGCCAGCAATAGTCCCATTTGTCCTACATATAAGCAATGATAATCCAATTTTTTAAACAGTTGCTTATAAAAATAACACACTTCCTGAAAATGGCCTAACCAGGTCTATTTTTTTCTTTTGTACACAACTGCTGCAAAAACACAAACAAAAAAAGGGCGAAATTTACTGATCTAAACTAAGAAAGAACGTGGTCATGCACCAATATCTGTTGCAAATTAAGGTAGAGTGCATTTATTGGACCATTTCAGGGGCCCAGCCATCTCTGTGGGCAGGCCTGGGCCCCCTACAGAGAGTCACAAGATCAATCTAAGAGGTTGGGAGATGATTCATGGGGTATGAAACAAAATCTGCTTCACAAATTGGTATTGACTTTTTGAACTTTTTGGAATGAAACCATCTGAAAAGTTAATTGGATCATAAACATCAAAACCACACATATTCTTTTTATAGGGGCTCACCAACCAAAAAGGTTAGAAACTAGTGGTTAATTTTTTGACAAAGTCTTAAGGCTGCTGTGAAATTGCACCTACTGAGGGCAACATAAAAGTTGATCTTAGGTGCGTCGGTACAATGGACAGTCAAGAGAGGATGGCAGAAGAGATAACTACACACCACTTCTACTGAGCTGGACAGCCACAAAAAAGGTTCACAGGCTGAGATCAATGCCAAAAACTGTCAATTTATTCAAAAGAATAATATTGTAAAGTGATAAAAACAGCAGCAAATGTTTCAGTCCTTGAGCACTGATGATAGCCTAAGACTGAAACGTTCTCTGCGGTTTTATTTATTTATTACATAATATATATATTTATTTTATGAATTGGTGTGCAGGTATTTCTTCTGCCATCCTTCCTTTTTAAAGTAACTGAGTTGTAAAATAAATGTAGTCAAATAAAAAATACAACATTTCCCTCAAAAATGCAGTAGGGGTAGAAGTATCAAAAAAGCATATAATGAAAATACTGTAACTGTGCTTCATTACTCTCCGCTACTGACCAAAACATTGCCAGCCAGGTAAAGAAAATAGAGGAAAAAGTCTGCTTTGTAATTTATGGAGCCCCTCATGTCCCAAAATGTGATATTTCTTTAATGTTGTGTGCACAAATTATTATCTTGCACGCTGAAGATAACAACTTTTGTCTTGGGCACACAACTAATTATCATATTACCCTATTATCTCGAAACAAGGTCACAACTTGTGTGTACAAGATAATAACACAAGATGATTAGACTACTTTTGCGCACAAGATAATTAACTTGTGTGCACAAAGTAAATTACATCATCTTTCAGGACATTAGGGGCTCCACAGTAACTCAACATCGACCCTTTCAGAGTAAATAACCCACAAAATACACCCACACTGTAACTTATACATAAAGTGCCATTATAAGCATTTTATTTCTATGCAAAATCAAAATAAAAATACAGTGACAATCAGGATTCCTTTAGTAGGAGGGGCTGAATGGATTGTCATGGCAAAAAAAGTACATGTTGATGCAACTGTGAAACACTAGTAATGATGTGATTGGGTCCAAAAGTCTCAGCAAATTAGTGACAACCTCTCTGATGTTTCAATGCAGCTTCACTTAGATATATTACGACATTAAAGGTCCACAGACTGGGCTGGAATCAAAGAGTGTCATTCCAAAAATAAGACATGCCGTTGAAAAAACATGTGATCGCGTCTTTATAAAACCATACTATCTCAAACACTTGTAAATAACATAAAGCCCTTGGCTGCAAAAAAGTGAAAACATTATATTTAATGAGCTTCAGCTGTCTCTCCTTGATATTTACGATAAATTGGTGCTTTGGAATAAATCTCCTGAAATGGCATCAAACTGCACAGCCCCTCTTAATCTTTCAGAGCAACAAATATTCTTTTCATGTAAACAAGTTAAGGCTGATATTGTCGTTAAGAGACAATATGTATAATATTAACAGTTTCTCTTAAGCTCGTAGATTTGAAAGCTACAAACAGTGGAATCTCTCATAAGGCTTGTTTCACAATAATCAACGGCAGCACACGTCTGGCTGGACATGTGCTCACTAACCAGCCTGTCAACTTTCACTTTTCTTTCCACATCTTCTACATCACTCTCTAACCCAGGCACGCTGTTCTCCATCTCCCCTCCCTCCATTTTCTCAAAACTGACAACTTCCCTTTGCGCAAGCATCCACCAAATCCTTCCTCAGACTGAACCCTCGCACATTAGAGACCCCCTCCTGGCTATATATGACCTGATGGGACAATCTGTGATGTCCTCTCAGAGCTGTGTTTGGCAGGTTTGACTAAAGATATTTAAGAAGAGAAGGAGGAGGAGGAGGCCTGCATCAGCTAAGCTCCTGTGCTACAGAGGGCTGCTGTGGTGGTGATCCTTTGGATCGTGAAAGGAAAATAACATTAAAAAATGAATAAGTATCTTCCCTTGTGGTGTATCCTTAGTTTGTCATCTGCCTGTGTGGTGTCATTTTACCATGTGCAAGAGATTATTATGGCTCTAACTAAGCAAGAGTGGAAGATATGGACAAACAATATTTCTTTATACTGATGTAATGGTTTGTAACAATTACTTATATTAATAATTATTTGGTGTATTGAGGACAATCTAAACGCAGATCTCTTACTTGCTTGTTCTGGAGCTTTTGACCTTATTATACAGTCCTCATCAGCAGATAAAATGCACTCAGTTGCCACAGAACCATTTACTAGAAAGCAGGGCTGCAATTAATGCTTATTTAATAAGCGATTAATCTGCCAATTCAGTTTCCAAGTAATCATTTGGTCGATAAAATGGCAGAAAATTGTGATAAATGTACATCACAACTCCTCAGAACCAAGGTTTTTCATATTTAAATTGCTCATAAATCATCACTTATGACCCACCAGAAGTGTGTACAATGATATTATTACTTCCTTCTTATTGTCTGTGTCTGAGACGTGTATGGGTGTGGATGCTCACAGCGCTCAGTGGGTGAGTAGCCACCCTACAGACACAGCACCAAAAAATAAACCCCGAAAATATAGCAAGACTAAATGCTAAACAATAGTGAATGGGAGGTTGGCGTTTACTTTCACTTGAGCATATTTACAAACAATAACTGACAATTGCTTAAAGGTAGAGTAGGCGATTCTGGAGAAAGAAAGTTGATTGTTGAGTCTCATTCGTAGGTCGTCAAACGGTGACTCTTTGTGTTGGTAGTTTGATCCGAATACCAACCCAAAGCGTCGCTAATTGACAACCTGAAACTCAGACTCCGCAATCAAGTTTCTTTCTCCAGAATCACCTACTCTACCTTTAAACTATTAATAGATAACCAAAACTGTCAGCAATTTTCTGTCGCTCAACTACTTCGTTAATCAATAACCATTTTAGCACTACAAGAAAGTTTTAATATCGACATTTCATGGGCAACTGAGTCAATTCAATCTGCTGATGAGGACCATGTGGTGCAGTCGAAAGCTCCACAACAGACTTGTACGAAGACCTTGAGTTGGGGTTGTTGTGGTGAGTGTTTTTTTCAAAGCCAAAAATGAACTGTCATGCTGATAATGTGCACGTTACACAGAGTATGGCCAATTCCTGTACTTTTGTTGAGTCTGATTTTATCAATAATTTGGACAACTGGTTTTCTTACCACCTTAACTCGATAATTCTACAGTATAATACTACTAAAAGATGATAACTGTTAGTATTGCATTTTTTCCTCGTTGACAAGCACTCCTCATCACTATAAAGCAACGATTTGAACATGAATAATCACAAAAAACTGGATGAATGGTGCTGTTACTTCCTTGGTAGGAAACTGAGGCAAACATCCACTAGAGGGAGTGCTTGGCCTGGGTGTTGCATTGCTTTGTTGCGTATAAAACTGTTGTGTCGGCACAGCCTCGGTACAGTGTAGGCTCAGACTGTGCCAGAGGCGTTTGGGAAGTGGATGAAATACAAAGTTGGCAACGTGATAATTGACCTGTGATATATGGAAAAGGGGCTGAGAGGAGAAGTGAGATGGAGTCACACTGAGGCAAGAAAAGGGCACGCTTTGGTGAAAGTGAAGGACCGAGGATACGGATGGACGGGAGGGGGACATTCTCGACGTGAAGGGAGAGACAGGAACACAAAGACACATCAGTGAACATCATGACAGAAGCAGGGAGGATCACTGTGGGAGACAGCAGATCAACACAGCATTTTTCATAAAGCCTGAAATCCCATGACTTTGGAAACTTCAACGGTAAAAAGAAAAAAAAAAAAAATCAACGGATCAAAACCGACATTGAAAAATAGTCAATATATATAAAAACACGAGAATAGCAGAAACAGAATAATAACGTTTTATAAGTCTTAAGTGTGTCGTGAGTAAAGGACTGTGATTCTTTGATTCTCCCTGTAAAGTGTTTGCTTCCTTCATTGCTCTGCATCCTCTCAGATTAAGAGTCCAGCAATGGCTGTGTAAACAAAACCCAATAAAGGGGGGAAAATTACATCTGCAAGTGTGCATCCATGTGATTGGCTGTGCACGACTTTACTTCCTCTCCCGTTTGTCCTGTGATTGGCCCGTTGGCCCAGCTGGAGTTGTGATCCCTTAGCTTAGGAGGTGTTAAACCGTTAGCCATCAGACCGCCATGT